GTTATGAATAGGGAGCTCAAGGGCGAAAGCCTTCTTCCCTTAATGAAGTGACCTTAGTGACTTATCAAAAAATCCGTCTCTCGCATAAACTGGTTGTTTTTTTGACCAAACTTTTCCCAGCGGAACGTCTGAACAGTCAGGATTTGTACTAGCATTAGATAATGCCTTCCTGGCGCTAACAAATATAAATTCCTAAATTCCAAATTGCAATAATAAATGGGAATCTTGAATGGGAAAGTACTTTTAAATAATATGACGTATCCATTAAACCAGCCAGTAGTATTAAGTAGGAAAAGAGCTTATTGGATAACGCGCACATTATCAGGGAACCAGACGCCCAAAAAGTGTTCTGAGTGAATTTTACTGAATTATACTGGCCTTGTGGGAGCTTGCCTCGCTGACTCACGCTAGCTTTGTTGACAAACCGCGAAGGTTCAGTCTTTACTCGCCCCCGCTACGCACTTTCACAGTCAACCACTGTGAGACGACCGCCGTATCCTGGCGACCTTATGCCCCCCGTGTGCTCGCTGTTGAAGGCGCAGGTTCCAGCCAATTGATGAGCGCGTGTCCACTTGGTTGGCTCCACGTCACACATAGTGCATTCCGCAGGCAAGACGGCACACAATTTGGCGTACTGACTCGGCGTGCATAACTCCGCCTTTTTACTGTCAATTTTCCGACAATAAACTTCTGTCCACCAACACCGTCTTGCTTGATTTGTGATTTGGGGTAACCTTCTGTTTGTCAACAAAGCAACTTGCGACAACCCCAATCAGTAATAATAGTTGAGGGGACGCCATAATGCGAGATCCAGTGTTCCAAAATGACGTGAATAACCGAATCCGCGGTTATATTTGGTTGCTGCAGTACATTTAATACCTAGTCAAACAGGGGAAGCGAAGAAGCCTATACGGCACCAATTGTCATCCCTCGTAGTGGCGCACAGACCACGAGACGCCATCTCCAGGGTCGCACGTAAGGCACTTAAGGAACTCAGAGCCGAGAATGACCTCTTAATCGTAGCTGCGGTTAAGGAGCGCTCTGCCTTCGTATTGAACGGAAGAGACTACATTCGCAAATTTCAAACTTCTTTAGAGGATCGTCAGTCCTAAGTCCCATGAAAGTCCACCCTTATAAGAACGTTGACAGGAGCGACAAATAAACACTCCTTTCTCTCTATGCATGAATAAGAGAACAATTGTAGAAAACGGCATTTTGAATTTTCACAGAATCAATAATAGCAAGGTCACTTTTAACGCGGCAAATAGTCAATAATAATGTCAACTTTAAACTTGGGAAGGAAAAGTAGGGACGGAAATTGAAAAAAATAAAAGGTTGATCAAATGTGGCAGCCATTTACCAGGGCAGTTGGAGATTAAGCACATGGCATAACTGCTTACATAGGCCGGGGTTTCTATCGCCGCATATAGGCTGATTTCATGTAGCGCAAGGTCCGATTTGTTCGTACTCGAACAAGAACTCGGAGGGATGTGTTGTGTCAACAGAATGACCGATGTATAACAGGTGTTTTTTTTGACGGAAGACCGTGAAACTTTGTTTTCTTGTTCAAAAAAGTCAATTAGGCAAATGTTCAACGGATCTGGTAACCAATTGCCTTTGCGTACGGCCAATTTACTTGCATCGGCAAGTGCACGAGACCTACAAAGGCTGGATTGTTGCTGCCCACACTTCGCACACTATTATTTTTAAGGGATTTTGGCGAGAGTGATTAGTGAGGCTAAGC